CACTTTCTAGAGATGGTTAACATATAAACGGGACCAAACCAGGCCTTTATGGAACCATGTGACATAATTTCTCAGCAGGTCATCCATCCAGCTAGGTGGCAGCCATTTTGAGGGACTGCCTTGTGGAAACGGAAACATTGCAAGTTCCATATCAGCATTCTGTCAATACATAAAAAATATTAGTTCATAAATAATTCTCTCCATCAATGTTCTAATGGTTACTTTGAACAACTTCATCCAGGCTTTGAGCACCAGGTTTGTGCAGAAAGTTGCATTTTGTGGCTTTAAAATGTGCTGATACAGAAGGCCAGACATTGCCTGGATAACAATAGAGATAAAGTCAAAACAGTTTGGATGCACAACGTCTGATGGTCTCTCATCCACCCGTTACAACTCTCTATCCTTTGATGTTCCAACATATTCTATCAGAGTTCATATCTGCTCTGGATGATGCAAGCATCAGAAAGTATTTATGTGTTCATGTGAGTGTGTGTTCTCTACAGCTCATTTGGGGCTTAGATCTTGTGCCCAAAGCAGTAGTTAGTCCAGATGTTTGGCGAGCAGAGGAACATATTACTTTGGAAGGTTTCCCACATGCTCTGTGGTTTTGCTGACCCAGCTTTAGCCTCAAACATCCAAACAACCTCAATCTAAAAATAGTGTTAACCCTCCTTAGGTCAAAATGAACCTTGAGATATGAGGCCTCAGGGGTCATTTTGATCCCAGGACAACAGGAGGGTTAATCATTCTCTCCAACATGGACCAAAACCTAATGATTCTCCTGGCTCCTGCACTGGGTCTGAAGACCCTAATCCTCAGATTTAATATATTAACGCCTCTCAGCTGAGCCATGCTAACTCATGCTGAGCTGCTCTGCTAAACCCAACACTGTTCAATGTTCTTTGCATGAAAACCAAACAAACTCAAGACCATATTTTCTGTGCAGTAATGTTTTATTTCATCTATACATGCTGTGTTAAAAAATCAACTAAAAAAATTAAACAAAAAATTGTATTATTTACACATTCACAGTACAACTTTACAACGTATCTACACGCTCAAATACTCTGGAGATCTAATATACAGCCGCGTTGCACAGTATTTAAATCATAGTTACGAGACAAACGAAATGTTCCTCTGCAGAAACTGAGCTCGGACTGAAATATAAAAGCTTAGATAAAAAAAAACAGTTCATAATGCAATGTACAAGGCAGCTGAACCCAAACACTGTTAGATGACACGCAGAAAGTCTTTACATACAATCATCATGTAAACAAAACGTGGCTTTGGGCTAAACATGCCAAAATGACTCCACCTGAATCCTGCACCTAGCTGCTACGAGACAAATGATCCCGAATTGTCCTCCAGTTGTACCTCGTCCCGTCGAACCGATAGACACAAATCGTGTTGCTGCAAACCAAGGAAACAAGATTCTGCACCGCCGCCGCTTGCATCTGTCCTGTGAACACGTGTTAAAACTCTGTCTGTGAGCAGGAAGTCCTGCTATCTGCTTCACAGGGAACCCCCCCTCCCCCAAAAAAACAAACAAAAAAAAAAAGCCTACGGACCCGGACTTACATTCACCGCTTGGCCCCGGTGGCTAAATTCTGAGAATAATTTTTGAAGTTGGAAACTTTCAATGGAAACGAGGAGAATAAACCTGGAGTTTAAAGGACTGAAGGTCGGTCCCAGAAGGGGATTTTAAATATACTTGGGAGGAGGGGGGGGGATATATGTATGTGTGTGTGCATTTTTATTTTATTTTACGTTTCTGACCTTAACAAAATTTATTTCTCTTCCATGCAATGAGAGACACCGCAACATAAACAACGATACCTGGACATGTAGGGACACATGGGACATGTAGGGACACATGGGACATGAGGGATATGTGGGAACACATTGAAATAGTAAAATGGGTTCAGTTATTAATAGTTTTGATGTTAAACTGAATTTTCTAAAATTGTCTTTTTATTTTATTTTTATTTATTTTTATTTTATAAAATGCCAAAAGGCAAAATAATGATCCTGCAACACGTGAATACTTTGGTAGTACAGTTATCTTAATAAAAATTAGACATTTTTTGTCCATAAGTTTAAACATTCTTAGGAATCTTTGTGAATGCTATTTGCCGAATTTGTGTTTCTGTCAATATAAAGACAAAATCATGAAATTAAACCATTGTACATCTTAATATTATTGTTTAGTTGTGTGTAAAAATTTAAAAAAAGTTTACAACAAACAGAAAAACTGTAGAACTGTTCAAAACTAATCGTTCTCTAAAGGTTGTGACCGTTGATGTCATCCGTTACATAATCATGTGCAAATTAAGTAATTTAAGTTTTTTTTTAATTTTTTTTATCAACTTTGAGGAATTTTTTATTTGATCAGCAGCTGTGGCTGAGTGGGTAGAGCAGTCGTCCTCCATTTGGAGAGTTGGGGGTTCAATTCCACCAGCAGTCACATGTTGAAGTGTCCCTGGGCAAGACACTGAACCCCTCATTGCCTTTGATGTGTGTCCCGTCAGTGTATGAATGTGATCTAAAGCTCTGATTAGTTTATTCAGATTATCTTTGTAGAGATGTAGTAGAGGGCTGTATGAATGTGTGTGTGGAGGTAAATGAGGACACAAATGTTGTAAAGAGCTTTTGAGTATCTTGAATAGATAGAAAGGTGCTGTATAAGTGCAGTCTATTTACCATCTGACTAAAGAAGATGTTTATATTTTTGTTTGGATATGTTGCAGTTAACTTAATTTACCTCCAGCTTACGGTTAATTCCCCTACAAGTTTCCAATTTGGAACAATTCCATCATTCCCCAGCCTAATCTCCCATGGAAAGTTTCCAAACATTTTCCATATCTTTGTAACCCAAACCTCAAGTTATAGTTATCAGTAATTATTACGTTATCAGCCGTGACCTCAGTCGTGGAGCACAGAGGACAGAGTTACAGTCCAGGCTAGGCTAATGGCTAACCCAACACTTTCTGGTTTCTCCACGCTCTCCGACTGATCGTTATCAGCTGAGACGGAACATCACTTCAAAAATTACCCGACTGTCCCCAAAAGGCTGGCAGCAGAAAAAAATAATTGTTCATAACCAGTCTGTGTTCTATCGGCCTAATGAACTGTAATAGTTTATGTAGTGACTCTCCGACCCATCTAGCTCCATTTCAGATGCCTCGTCGTGTAAAAATGTTTATGGAACACATGAAGCGTACACAGGACCAGACGGCGCCGCCATCAATACACACCGTCCTAATTTGTTCTGAGTAAGGCACACATTGCACAGATTCTGGTTCACTGGCCTACAAGTATTGATATTTACAGGAGCTTGTCATTCCCAGCATGACACGAGTTAGGAAACGAGTTGATTGTACAGTGGCCACTCACAGGGACGCTGCACACACACAAGACAGACGGCGTTCCTGCGGTACCTTAGTGGAGCTTTAAAGGATTGATGGAGGGGAAAACGTGTATTCTTTAAGGTGGTATTCAACTGGACCGAGACTCGGTGGTGGGCAGCCTTCATGAGGGAAGGCCCCAAATACCTCCGTGTCCAAAAATCGTGCTTACTGAGATGTTGTGGGACTCATTTTAAGAGCTGTGGAGCTGTGTCCTGACTCCTGCGGGAGCTCTGCTCTGAGGCTACAGCCTCAAATGTCTGGGTCATAAAGTCACATTGATGAGAAATAAGTTAACAGTCCAGATGTTCAATTCTAAAGTGTAGTCCAGTGAATTAAATCATGAACGTGGAAACGGCTGTGGGGGGCGGACGAAGCGGGTTATGATGTAGGTGGACATGGACAATAAATTATTGTGCATGGACTAGAATGGGTTTACAAACCGTGCACACAGAAATAGGCCATGATTTTCACCAATTGGCTGTGCTTGCTTGTCAGCTGGCCACATACAGTCGGCGTTTATTGAAACAGCAACAGACAAAAACTTCTTGCGTGTTTTCATGTCAAACAGTCAGAACCCAGTGAGATACCACCTGTAGGAAACATTGAACAGAAGTGTGCAGAAGTGACCTATAACTGGTCTAAAGTATCGGCGTTTAATAGATTTCACATTAAGTTCTTGAAGACAGTTATTTGTTAAAATGGGATGGAAAAACTTAATTTGACTTTTAAAGATCACCAGTGTAATTCTTTCAGTCTTGGAGAGAAGTATTTTCTCTATTATATCAGTTTTAATAGCGTTTGGTTGCTCAGATATAAACTCACAAACAGAAGTCCACACTCGGATATCAGAGGGTGTCCAGGTATGGTTGAAAGACGCAATTCAGCAAAGACACAAACCGATAGCAGCAAATATCCAGTTCAATTTCCCAGTGAGTTACAAAAGTCCCTGTTTAAGCAAATACCCAGTAAATCCAGCCGGACCAGAGCCCGACCTTAATACCATTAAACAGGATGACACAAACACTAGGTTCAGGCTTTCAGTATTGTTGAAATAAAAGACAGTGACTTAGGTCTTCAACACATCCAGAGGTGCTTCCTCTGGCATGTGGCACCACTCCTGAAGGCCAACATGTGTGCAGCTTTCTCATAAAGTAGATTTTCTGCCACCCATAAACACTCTTTATTCACTTTTTTCTGCTTGATTCAGTTGTTTGTGACCATCTAAAGCAGCAACAATGACTATTTCCTTCCTTCTCTTTGCTGTCTTACAACCAAACCGCTCTCTGTTCAGTTCACATTAGTGGGAAAACAGTGCTTGAGGGCAGGAACATTTGAGAACTGTTCTTCAAGTATTCCACCGTTTATCCCCTGGTGGCATGTACAACTCAGCAGCCCCTGCTGCTCCCCAGAATCTCACACCTTCCCTGGGAACAGCCGAAGCTCGGGGCCCAGGTAGCGAAGAGCTAATTGACCACGATCTGCTGTTTGTATCCTGTGGCTATAGGATGCTGGAAGGAGAAGGGGTCCAGGGAGCCCCAATGAGCATCTTGGCCAGAAGTGCATGTTTCCCTTCTAAGTGTGAGTGAATGTGCGCATCATTTAAGAAGGTAGAACATCTCAAGTTGATACACAATCACAAACCAGGCCTGATTTCATCCATACACCCCAAGCCCTTCAGAGTGCAAAGCTCTATGAACCAAGAGCTCACAGGTAAGTGTGCCCACGGTGGTTTAGTAACTGTACTTGTTGACTACTCGCATCTGTGGAGTCTGTGGAGGAAACCCGTTGGGTTTAGGGGGCACGTCTGGTTTTATGGATGGAGTCCTTTTGAGCCCCGTGCGAGGGAGCGACCCGTGCCCGCTGTAGCTGCTCTGTCGGGACACAGAAGATTGGTTGGGTGAGTGCATTCCTGATGCCATCACCGCACAGTGGGAGTCCAGTCTGGAGGGAGGTGTTGGGGGCATGTAACCACCTCTGTTCATACTGTGCTGGCGAGATACAGACACCCCCATAGTTACCCCATTTGTTGAAGTGGATAAGGACTGCCTGTGAGAGGCACTCCGGTGGAGCTGGTAACCCCCTCTTTGCCTCTCTAAGGTGCCCCCCATGCTCAAGCTTCCTGTTGGGGTGGTGGGGGAGGAAGGCATGGGAACATCAACTCGTTTGGTAGGGCTGTGTCTTGGTAAGGAGGAGGAAGGAGAGTACAGCGAAGCCTCTCGACTGGGCACCTTGGGGGGTATTTCAGTCAGTTCTTCCATGGGCTCCAGTGTGAGCTGTGGTCTCGGGCGGGGCCCTGAACCTTCTTGAAGAATGGCCTTGGGGTTGGCCACAGAGTCATTAAGATGTTTTAAAAGATCATTCAACGTGTTCCTAGCATCCACTGCTCGCTTTTGATCTTTTTTACTCCCTTTAGTGTCCGGGTTCTTTATCTTTTCAGATGAATGAGGCAAAGTCTCATCTTCGTCCTCGAGGTTCGGGTGGTCATGAGTAGCGTTGGGCAGAACGACCGCACTTGGAATATTTGAGTGTCCTAGGGCAGGGTGGGGATGGTGGGAATTTCCATTAACGGGAGAAGGAGATGAGAGAAACTGTGGACTCTTGGCTGATGAGTTGGACTCTTTACGGGACCCGCTGACCTTCCCATGGGCCTTCTCCCACTGGTTCTTGATGGGCTGCAGGCCTTTCTGCTGGAGAACAGGGGTGGACTCGGGTGTGGGCAGAGCAGCCAGCTCTGGGGGCTGACAGCTGTCCCTCATGATCATGGTCTTGATGTCACCATTGGGCGTGTTCAGGTCTTTACCGTTCGTCAGCAGGTTGGTGTACAGCTTGGGAGAGTCGATGTTGGCTTGGTACTCCTGAGAGCAAAATAAAAACAATCAGATCAGACCCAATTTTACATATTTCACCGTGACAGGATATCAGATTGGGACTCTCCTGTTGGCTGTACCTTTACAGGGCTGTCAAAGAGGCCGTTGAGCTTCACAAAACTCCCGGTAGAGTCGGAGCAAGACGGCGCTGACTCTGCGTCCTTGTGGACATGTTTGGGTTTGCGGAGGAAAGAGTCTCTGTAGCAGAACACAATCAGTCCGGCCAGCAGAGCGCCCATGAGAAAAGCAGCAAAGACGCAGGTGATGAGGATGTTCATGTGGACCATCTGGTCGCTGTCACCTGTATGATTATCCCAAATACCTATAAAACAGCAAGTCATCCGTTAACCCCCGGTGAAAGGATTTAAACTGCTAAATGATGCATACGTCCCCATTTCCCCACAGCAGAAATGTGCATGATTGTGTTTGGAAACATCCATGCCAGACTTTCTGCTTTTTACAACAGCTAATGAACTACATTCAGACTCCAGGAGCTTGTGGCCTAAACACAGATGAAGGTCAGGTGTTAGCTACCTACATCCATTTCCACCATCTATAAGAAGCACTGTTGTTAATCTAGCAGAGCTCAAAGCCGTTAAAAGTGTTGTCCTGCGTTCTACAAGAGGCTGCCTCATGCATCCAGCACCAAAGGGTGAGGAGTGATCTCTGATCTGAGACCCAGAGATCAGGCAGCAGATAATTGCTCAGAGGACAGGGAAGCATCGTCTGCACTGAGTTTAGAGACACTTCCCGCTCTACATAAGGTTTGTTAGTAACCACAGACATGGGAAGAGTTAGTCAACCACCGTGCAGCCGGAGCAGTGAAGGGACACGGTCGGCCAAGTCAGGATCCACCAGCCACAGTAAACTCACTACAGCTAGGTAACTAATCTAGAGTAGCAAAGGCAGAAGAGAAGAAAAGACTACAATGTTTTTAAAAAAATGTAAAGGAAGGAAATGAGATTCTGTTCAGTAGTTATTAGTAGTGAGTATCTTACCTGCTGCAGAGCTATCAGAGTGATCTCAGTCTGGATGAGCTTCTCGTGATGGAGTCAGACTAACTGATAATTAGGCTGAAAAGGCTCAAACTTTAAAAACTCAAACTCTGGGTTTTACACCTCATTGCTTTGACTGCTGGGCTGGCTTCACTGGCCCAGTTCTGAACTGGTGCAGAACATTTATCAAAGCTGATCAGCTCTTTGTGTATGTTGGTGAGTTTATCTGACAAAGTGGGTGTTACTGTTCACGGTGTTCATCAAGGTTCAAGCTTTGGCCCAGTTTTATTTGGCCTTCACACGCCTCCCTGTCACTCAGAAATGGGATGTGAACAGTCATGGTCCGCAACTGCACAGCATTTACTGAGTCTCTGAACTCCCTGACACGATGTAGAAACAAAATTATGAGTGCGTGTCACCTATTTTATTAAAGCTGAGCTGAAACAGAAATGCTCTGATTTGATCCAAAGACTGAAAGAAAGTTCATCTCAGGTCTTTTGTCTGGAGTCCAAAAATAAAACTCAACAGAGATATCTGATTTTTAAAAGTCACATATTATCAAATTCCCTTTTTACTATTTGAGAAAAGTTTGGTTCAAGTTAGTTTTTTTAATCAGACGTTGACAAATTAATTTAAGCCTCTGTGCATAAAGTCAGTTTATTAGTAAACGCCTCCTAAAACGTGCCGAACAGACTGCAGCTGATCTGAAATGCTGCTGCTCCAAGTATCCATGAATTCAACCGCGTTACACCTGCTGTAAGCTCGAACCATAGAAAAATGAATTTTATATTCTATTTGTCCATCAAGCACTGAATGTAAGAGACACGCTAACTGGTTATAACCTGATCTGGTCTTACCGGATAATTTGACCGATTCTGTTGCTGTGCTCCAAAAAAAGGAATAAACGGCTTTTAGATCTGAGAGAAGGCTTTTGAGGAAAACGATGAAAATGTTTCTATTTACAAAAAGTAAATTATTTTGTTTACTGTTTGTACACCATTATAATTGTGTGTGATTGTGTTTAATATAGCGCTGGTCAGGGACGACGTCACGACATTTGTGGGTAATCCTCAAAGTCATGGATGTCGGGCAAACAATGCAGCAGACCGCACCACGACGGACATCTCCAGTGTTTTTGTCCACGTCAACTTAAACGAAGACGACGTCCCCAGCTCATGCTCTGAATACAATGCAGAGTCTGGCCACTACGCCGAGTTGATAAAAGGTATGTGTGGCGTTCCAGGTGTTTCTGTGCTGATTCGTGCATGCCACTGATTCGCTGTTTATTCACAGGTTTTTGGCAGCAGCTTCTTTTATTTGACTTTGTTAGCTGCTGTTAGTCTCTGTTAGCCGTTAGCGATCTGCTGTTTGATTGTTTATTCAAAAGTGAAGACGTTCTAAACAGGAGCTGAATTAAACGCCTAAAGAGACAAATCAACGTGGCGGGTTGAAACAGGCGTTCAGTTCTCGTTAGTTCCTGACAAAAAAGGAAAAAGCGGGGGACTTCAGTGGCTGGTCTGAGATCAGAGCGCTGCTCTCGGCTTTAGAAACGTCAAGAACCAAGTACAGTATGTGGCTCATCAGCATGTCGGCCATCACTATTGCAAGTCCTGCAACTAAGCTTCTTATATACCATTTTCTGCTGCTTTTTATGAGCACAAACCACGACTACAGTGCTGTGTTGTGTTTGCCTTTCATCCGAGACCTCGCTGACTTTACATATTGTGTAGATGTATCAATGTTTACAGCAGTCGTGTAGAGTTGGGATTTTTAAAGTTAGCAGAAGTCAGCTCTGAAACAGGCTGACGAGCCGATAGCTGGACTCCTTCATGGGAACTTCTCCAAACTGAAATGCTGTCTGCTGCAGGTAAGACAATGACTACCAGAAGTTACTTCACAGAAATCCAAACAGGCCCTTTTAAAAAAGTCCAAACAAGTCAGGGACACCAAACTAAAACAGACAGAAACATCAAAGATGCTTTTTATCTGCTGATTAGAAGAAGGTTCTGGTACGTGGCGGCGATCGGATCAGCTCAGGGCGACGTGTTGGCTGCACCCCCATGGTTCTTACCCTCTCGCCCCCCCGGCACAGAGTTTAAAGAGTGGGAGGTGGCCGGGTCGTCCTGCAGAGCAAAGCCCGAGCCGTAGAGCTCTGGAGTGGGCTCGGGGCTGGGGTTCTGACTCGGTATGAGTACTGGGGGTTGTACGGGCTCACTGGGCTGGACAGGGACTGGTGCTGATGGAAACTCCATGTCTGTGGTGACAAACAAACATTAAGAACCTGTGCAAGTGAGTCAATGATCAACCCAGTCAGCAGGAAGGAGCAGAGGGAAGTTCAGACAGAGTTTCTGTGGTTCTACAGAACAACGGACCTTCTTCACCGAAACCAGAACCCACTGAACGACAGGCGAACTCGCTTCCACTGAAGCTTAGATACAGCAAACATGATGAGTACAACTCTTTAAACTTTATCATCCTCAGTGTTTCACTGAAGTCTGAACAGAGACTGGTTCTGTTCAGGTCCAAACGGCAGCAGCAGCTGATGCGTGAACAGTGTAAAAGTTTACAACCTGAGCTTCTGAGAAAAGTCTAGTACTAAGATTACGCTGAAATTGTTTAAAGCTCTTAGTCATACGTTTTCGTCTCAGATTAACTTATCTAGCGTTAGCGTTGGTCCGCTCAGAATTAAACCCAAAATAACCCCATTCAAAATGGCCGCCATGGCTAATCAACCTCAGCAAACCCAGCAGCAGCTGTCGCTCAGCGGCGTGGTAGTTGCTGAGAGTCATCCTCAGCACAAACTCTAAGCTTAAACGGATCTTTGTTTAGAACTTTGGGGGGTTCTTTGTATTTGGAAGTTCACAAACTGACTTTGTTTTTTTTACACAGTTTCATAAATAAACTATTTATTTAGTTATAGCCATTTTTTATTTATTTTATTTATTTATTTGTCACGTCTAGACTGGACTATTGCAATGTTGTTATCTGGGTGTCCAAGTAAGTATTTCTTTAAAACGTCTTTAGTTGATCCAAAATGCTGCTGCCAGAGTCTTAACTGGAGTTAGTGGGAGAGATCATGTCTCTCCAGTTTTAGCTTCTCTCCACTGGCTTCCTGTCAAGTCCAGAATTTAATTTAAAATCTTACTTCTAACCTACAAAGCTCTCAACAACCTAGCTCCATCTTATATTTGATATCATTCTGTTCCATATTTTCCTATCAGAGCACTTTGCTCTCAGACTTCAGACTTACTTGTGGTTCCTAGAGTTTCCAAAAGCAGAATGGGAGGAAGATCTTTCAGTTATCAGGCTCCTCTCTTGTGGAACCAACTTCCAGTTTCTGTCCATAGGGCTCACACCTTGTCCAGTTTTAAGACTGTGCTTAATACTTTACTTTTTGATAAATCCTATACTTAGGGTTGGCTTGTCATGCTGCTATAGGCTTACACTACTGGAGGACAAACTGACTTCATTCCCTTTCTATCTTAACATGTTATTCTTGACCTGCCATTGTGTATCTGTTCCTCTCAAATCCAGCCAATCAAAGCAGATGGCCGCTTGTTCTGAGCCTGTTTCTACTAAAGGTTTCTTCCTCATGAGGGAGTTTTTCCTTTCCACTGTCACCTTCATGCTTGCTCAAGATGAGAGTTCTGTGATGGAGTTAAATTCAAAGCAGTCTGCTCCTCAGATAAATAATGTTAAATTATTATTTTTATATATAAATGTTTCTGTTCAATGCCCTGAGACTACTTCTGTTGTGACTTGGCAATATATAAATAAACTGAACGGAATTGAATTATTGCTTTAATTTATTAATTAATTAATTTTATTTGCAGTTGTTGAGACTTTGAACAACTTCCTGTTTGTCCGACGACCTTGGCCTGCTTTAACATCATGGGAGACAAGTTTGTCAAATTCCCCTTTTAGCTCTTCTTATTTCCTGAATCCACTCAGATTTTATTTCTTTAACAGAGGAAATAAAGATATTAATGTTTTTATTTAAAACACAAACACCTTCTTTTGTATTTTAGAGCTTCACATATTTTGCAGCTGGAAGTTTTGCTCCCTGTCGTCGTTGATTTCTGGTGTGAAAAAGGTCCATTAAGAGTACAAGTGTGTTTTTATGAACAAAGATGCGAGAAGGGTTGGTACACAGATCTGTGATGCTAAGACATGAACAGTCGGCATGCATGAGGATGGACGGATCAGGAAGAGAGGAGTCAACATGGAGGCTGTGCTGTTGCTTCCCTGCGTGGTGATGGGAAATGAAGTGTTAGCGTTCCAGAGCTGCTCGGTGCAAAAGATGAAGAGCAGCAGAGGAGAAGGAAGGGCAGGAAATGCTGAACTCAAGGAAAGAAACCATTGGAGTAAAAGATCAAACTAACCAGAGGTCGGGTCGCCAAATGATTTGTAATCTGGAGCTGAAGTAGTGCCCAAAAACGCTAAAAGAATTCAAAGGACAAGAAATCATTATAAGGGAATTCAGAAGTCAAAACAAAGAAAATCAAACGGCAGTGTGAGTGCACTTTGATTGGTTAAACTGTTCAGCTGTAGAGCACTCCCTAACTTGGTTTGGGACTGGAAGCCCTCTGGTTCTGATCCATGTTAAAGTTCTGCTGGGTCATGTTCAGCTCTCACACATGAAGGAAAAACACATCCGAGTCAGAACAACAAATAAAACGCCTCGTGCGCAGGAGCTGAACATGATGTGCTCCTGTACCATATGTAGATGTGGGTTAATACTTGTTACTGGACCGGGTCCTGGTTCTGGGTGTGCAGGCCCATGGTGTCCACACACATGAGGGTGTGTTACGTTAGATACGATGTGTGTGAGTGAGAGGAGAACTGTGTGTTTGTGTTGACTTGGGCAGGTGAGCGGTACCTTGACAGTCTCCGAGGTGGACCGTGTTTCCAAGTTCCACGTCCTGCTCGTACCCGGTCCTGAAGACAGCAGAGACAAACACCTGGGTGTCAGACAGGACATTTATCCAGTCTGGAGTTTGGATTTTGGCTCCAAACGGGAAACAGAAATAGAACAATCGTACTCCGATGTCCCCGTCTCTGAGAATCTCAACACTGAATGTTTGTACTTTTTTAAAGATGAGTGTTTTTTTTTTTCTGGACTGGAACTGAACAGAGAATGAAGTAATCCTAAATGTTTTTGGTGCAAGATATTCAAGTGGAGAAGTTACTCTGTGGAGAAGAACAGAGGGAGGATTTTTCTTGTCCGAGGCGGAGCAGAGTGACGGAGGGGAGGAGAGGTGTTGTATGGGAAGGATGTGGGAACTACAGAAACTTTGGTACCATCATCCAGATTGACCCAGAAACACCTTGGGACTCAATCTTCTAGTGCTGGCAAGGGAGCCAGGACAAGGGTCATAGGATTTACTATCATCCCCACCATCAAAGGGTGCCAATCCTCATTGAAAAGCCCAGAAGAACTGAATACAAGGGCAGCTGACCAGAGGATGAAGATTCAATCACTACTATCAATTCAAAGTCAATTCAAAGGCAACAGCACAAGTCAGGACTAGACTAGTCATGAACTCTTTCCATTGGATGGTCCCATCCACTTCCAGCTCGATTCTTAGGACCTCCTGGGTTGAGTTTCTGAACGAGTCGAGTTGAGGTCAGAGTGATATGTCTCCTCCACAAGAATCAAACCCATTTTAAAAACTCTCAACTGGAGTTTATTTTTTAAATGTGTAATTATGTCCAATAAAATGACAAAACCATGGTACTGTGAGGTGGTGCAGACAGCTGACAGAGCTCTGCCCAAGTTGGACCAATTGAACTCGATTAATGGCGCCGACCTACAGAGGAAAGATGGCCTCCAATTGGCCACGGCACTTTATGAATGATCTGTTTTTATAAAAACTATTTATCATGTAAAAAGATGCTGGTCTCAAATCTACTTTTCCAAACTTTTTGAACTCACAGAACTCCAGGCTGGATCCTCTCACATGCTCCGTGAGGCCTCCAGCCACAGTACGGATCTCTGGAGGCGACGCAGGACCTGGAACACCAAAACAAGTCCCGGTTTAATCATTGGAGACCAGGTCCTAGAGCTGTTTGTGTCTGACTGAACATTAACCACGAAGACAAAGGTCCCTCTGTTCAGACATTAAAAACAAAACTATAAAGTCCCACGTGCACGCCACATGCACATTGCCACTCACTTGTGGCAGGAAGAGTGCCTCTCACAGCGACTCAGGGGTATCCGGATGACGCAGCTAGAAAAGGCGACATAAAGGCTGTGAGCGTCTTTGTCCACGTGCAGGGAGAGGACACGCTTATCGTCCTCACGGCTGGACAGGCACCTGGAGAGGAGAACAGACACGGATCAGAACCGTTTTCTGTTTCAGGCTCTGGAGATTTAAATCACACAAAGCTCCCTCACAGTTTAACAGGAAGTTCACTGAGAGAAGAATAAAAAATGCACCTTTACAGACAGCAGACAGACCTGCTGACCCCTCAACAAAACTCTCAGGAGGAAGACAAACAAATAGGTCAAAGGTCAGGGTCAACCTACTTGGCTCTGTTGAAGATGTCTATCTCCTCCAGGAGCAGGCTGTCGTCCATGGACACCGAGGAGGTCTTGGCTAGAACCTTGAGAACGACCCCGGACTCTGACCCAATGAAGACCACCGTGTGGTTCTTATGGGGTCCTGCTTGGTTGTCCACAGCTAGCGCCGTTAGCCTGTAGCTTCAGAGACCACAGAGGATGACATGTTAGATAAGTTAAGATACAAAAATATGTTTAACTTTCAATAAAGAATGAAAACAAGTTTTAGGAAAAAACTGTGAAGAAATCTAGAGGGGCCTTTTCCAAGACTCTGACCCACCAAATAAACTTCAGAGAAACGTGTTCAAGTGTCAGAACGTAACAAAGGTTTTGTTGGAGTATTTACCGGACGCGCGTCCTGGTGAACCAAGGCTCGTCCCCGATGGACGGCACTGCTGTGTCCATCAGGGGGTGGGACTTGATGAACTGCAGCGTGTCATCTGGAAACTCCACGGAGCTCTTAAAGGACGCTGCCGGACCATGACCCGCGCAGCTCCCGGGCCTGAGACGGAGAGTGCGCAGAGGGCAAAGGTCAAGTCGAGCACCCCCCTATGTCATAATATCAGATGACGAGCGGGAGACACGATTCATCTTCAGTTTCTCACGTTGTTTGGTTTATTTAGACAATTACTGCACAATGATCAGGGTAATAATAATAACTACAATTCCATGAAAGAATGCTTATCGCCCGCCATCTTACATTTCAACATTTCATCAAAGATCTTGTACGAATGGTTAGCTTTCAGAGTATGTGAATAGAGTGACTCTCTGCTACTACCACACGTTTGAGCTCAAAATATGTAAAACTGACCAACATGAGGCGGCCATCTTGGATTGACTTCTAAATCTAACCCATTGTTCGTCTGATATTTAATTTCTGGCAGTTTCATTAAAATCTATCCACTGGTTCAAGGGATATTTTGCTAACAGACAGACAAACACAGGTGAGGTCATGATCACCCACCACCAGGAAAGGCAATTAACAATAAAAAAAATCTCATCAAGCTGCACAAAGATGAATTAAAACGGAGATGCGTCTGTAAAAAACACTTTACTCTTAATTTTTTCCCCAGTTTTAAACAGTTTAAATCTACTTCAATAAAAGTTGATGTTCATCCTGTGAGACTATTTCAAAATAAACAAAATGAACTTTAATGTGACAAGTTGCAAACAATCCAAACGAGCGAGAAACGGCTTTAAAAGGCTTTACGGTTCGTTTCCTGCAGCTGCCATTGGGAATAAATTTATTTTGAATTTATAACGACTATCAAACCACTGCTGGTTTGAGTTCTTTTTACAAATTATATTTTTATCAAATGGAACAGGAAACAAGTCTGGAAACACAAAGGCTTTTCCAAACCTGTCGTTTTTTCAGATGAGAGAAAAGGAGACGTCAACATGATTATTACCCTCCATCAATGATTTATGGAGTAATGAGACGCTTTGTGGACTTTTGGACGCTGCAGTCTCATGCTGACTGTAAATGGGTTAAACATTCAATGCCTTTAATTTAGTCCAATTAATAATTTAATCTGCTGCAGATGGTGAGTGTGCTGGGTCAGAGCTAATAACCCGGTACCTTTCTGGTTTGATTTCACCCGTTTTACTCGTGGGTGACACCTGCTGCTCCCACAGGTTTTAGTATTTAAAACCCTGACCTGAAGTGCCTGGGAAAAACTAAAGTTTTTGTGAATTATAGTTACTACAATAATACTACGATAAACTATAATATTATATTAAGCTTGATGTGTCCAGTGTAGTCATTTTTGATACCAAACAGTCAGATATACCTGACATGTCGCCCACAGCTGGTTTTAGACAAGGACATTTTTCAAGGAGGAAAATCAAAAACCTAAAAAATGAAACAGGAAACGATTCTAACCGAGGTTTGGGCAGCTTCTCTTCTGGAAACGGAGTCCACACAGAGTCGGGGGTCTTCTGCTCCTTGAACCGGCCTGAGAAGACCTTTTCTATGTGAGCCATGGAGAAGGCACACACCGCAGACCCCGGGATGCTGAGGAGGAAACACGAGAGTAACATGTTCAGTGGAGACCAGAAGCTTCCATCCACTCATCCTTAACATGAAGGGCAGAATATTTGAACCGTTCTTTGTCCTGGATGGATTGATTCTGCAACAAACAACTTCAGTAACTTTTAAAGTTTGGCTTGATTCTGGATTTTCTCTGCTCCTCACTGGGTCAAAATTATACATACAGAGTAAGAGAGATTCATATTTCCACCTAAATCTATTAAGAAGTGCTGCTGAAGGTTCTAGAAGGTCTTAACTTGACAAGACCTGCTAACTTCCTGTTGATCCAGATCATGATTGACTGCAGCTGAAGAAGATGTCAGCACTTGCCAGATTGACCAACACTCTTCGGTCCCCTCAGATGGAAGAAAACTGGTTCTGATGTTCAGGAACAATCCAGGAATCACCACCAGGACAATGGTCCCAAACATCAGGACTGGTTTCAGATTGGATAAATCAAGCTAACTTCAAGCTTCTGGAACGTTCTTCCCAAAGACCCGACCTGAACCCGATTAAACATCTGAGGATTCTGCTTAAAAGTCAGGTCTGAAACCAGGAAACCAACCCGTTAAACTGAACTCAGAAGAAGAAGAAGAATGAGGAAGAAGCAGAAGACGTAGGAGAAGAAGTGGGAAGAAGCTGAAGAAGGAAGAAGAATCAGAAGAATCAGAAGAAGGAAGAAGAAGCGATAGAAGGAAGAAGACGCAGAAGAAGAATGGGAAGAACATGCAGATGTAGTAAAAGAAGCAGAAGAACTCCCGAGGTCCAGGAGACACTGACTGAGGGACATTTATCAAATATCAGAGGGGTGTATGAATATATTTGAACCTGTAAACTAACTTGTGTTCTAAAATAAATAAATTCATGTTTTATAATCTTTCCTCTCTGGACAAAGACCAGTTCAAAGAAATCACTCGGTCTGTCATGAACCTGACATGTGCGTTGCGAGCGGATCATACGTGCTCCGCGGCTTCTCACCTGTTCATCTGGGTCGTGAACACGCCCACCACCGAGGGAACCCCGTTGATGTCGATGATGTCAGTGATGGACTGAAGCACGTCAAAGTAGAAGAAGGACTCCCCCGGCACGGAGCAGTTCAGCCTCGCCTTCACAAAAGACGTCCAGTGTTTCTCCAGGACCCGCTGTGACCCGCCCACGTCATTCTTACAGATCCGAGCCACTCGGGAGTACACCACCTGAAAGGTCGGAGAGAGCGTCACTAAAACAGCTTTGCCGTGCTGAATAATAAATCAGCTCCGCGGAAATGACTTCACATGCACACGCTCTCAGCCTGAAATCATTCACCCTGACTAAACAAACATAAAAAAGACGACATCAAAAGCCCGAGTTACTTAGAGCTGCACGTACGAAAGTGTATTTGACTGCACAAATTACCAAAGCACCGAGCATAAATGAGCTACACGGAGCAGTTGGCTAAGATCTTTTAATAATTGATCAGTGCAAACCTCCATCAGAGGCCAGGTGTCACCCCAGCATTAGTAGGGCTGAAATATTTAGTAGCTGGTGGTTGATGGAGGCTGCTGGTTTCCTGCTGGCTCAGCCCACGATGAGGCATCGGCCAAACGTGAAGCCGGCCTCAAATATGGAGTGTCCTCACTCCCTGTGCACGAGTGTGTGTTGGAGTGAGACACAAAGAGTGCGGTCTGTAGGAGGCGAAGCCTTTCACTCTGTAATGGTTTTACATTAGCAAAGCATTCCCAGCAAACACTGGGTTTGAAATGTCTCCTGCGTTCTGATGTGACTCAGAGCCATCGCCTGAATGGACCCCATTACCACCGGGCCCATTTGTGGCAGAAGCACATCCACCCAGGGAGGCACAAGGCCTTTTTATTTGATTTTTCCCAGATAAAAGGCCTGCATACTCTCTTTGTGAAAAATATGTAATGTGCTCTAGCAGCAGGTGGACCACCTTACCTTCCCCAGATTGCTGTGTTCCACTGCAATCTCTCGGTAGAAGAAGTACACATAATTCCCGTACTCTGCTGCATGCAGGAAATGAGGTTCTGAGGGAGACACAGGCACAGAGTTAAAGTGGATTTTTGCACCGTCACCACCACTGTGCATGTTGAATATTTCAGAGATTTGTACAAGGCAGTTTATGACAAGGGTGACCTAGATTGCCTGGGAGAGAACAGGCCGTGTTCCCGAGGAGTTTGGCAAGGCAGAAGAGCCCTCTGCCACTTCGAAACCAGCCCTGACAGTCACGTACGTACACGCAGAACGCCACGGGCATCTTGTTTCCCAGGCAGGTAGGTACATGTCATTCCACGAGATGTCAGAAAATACAGAAACTAATACTTGTGGTGAGAACTGGTGCTTTTTTCTTTAAATGTTCAGCTCCTCACTGCTTTGTCTTCTAAGACAGAACTTTAACACGAGGTTTCATCGGCTGTTGTGTTAATTACATGATAATAACACTTTCAGTCAGAGTTAATTACAACTGAAGAGGGGAGTCAATGGTGGCCTCGGCCCCCCATTGATGAATCTTTGTCCACCCCAATCAGTTGAGGAAACTAGTTTTAAGCAAAATAAAAGCTAGAGAAAGCATAGTTTACAATACATGGTGGCAACCATCTTGAATTTTTTTCATGGCAACTCAGCTTTTCACAGTGACCTTTTTTCACCTAGCTGCAGACTCACACAAGAATGGAAGTCTGTATCTCCCTTATTTTTCAAGTTATCATGCTCACAACATGGATTGGCGAACAGACGGAGGGTATTTCCACCTTTTCACAACGAGGAACAAAAATAAGAGAAAATGTAAATTCACACTTGAGGTTGACAAAGAATCCCATTAGGGCTGTGAAAACTTCATTACTTTGGTTCTAAATTGTGATGAAGTTTCAACAAACTGATCAGACTTCTGTCCGTATGTTTGACTATCTGGTCTCTGTAGAACCAGAACATAGCTGTGTTCAAATTCTCATCCCAAAGTCGACATTGGTCCATGTGTGGTCAGGACTCTAACAGGGCTGTCCCTGGTCTCTGATCCTGTTTGTGGTGTTCATTAGTGATGGGACTTGCAGCTCTTTTCTGTGGTTCGACTCAGCTGACTCATTTGGCTCAGCTCAGAACTGCTCTGGGCTCCCAAACAGTTCTTTAATAGTACCAGCACTCAAAGATCTGGCTCAGAACCAGCATGTCCCGCCACTACTGGTCATAGACAGGATCTCAATGTGCAGTTGTTAAGAGGAGGTCTGGTTTGGGAGCTTCAGGGTTTGTTTCTGCTTTTGCAGTAGATGTGATTCTGCTAGTGTCTTCAGTGTGAAGCAGGTGGGTTGAAAGTAAGCTCTGAGTCTGAAGCCAAGGTTCTGGAAAGCTGATGAGTCTCAGAGTCGAGCTGAGGAGCTTAAGATCTGGGTCTGTTCGTATGTGGTGGTAGAATGGAGCAGGAGATGGACCAACATATCAGGGCCTCAAATCTTTGACTTAATGGCCTGTCTACATTCTATAATCATGAGATGTGAAACAGGACTGAAAGAACCAGATCCTGGATCCAAGAAGCTGAAATGTGCTTCCTTCATAGGGTGGTGGTGTTGGTGGGGATTTCAGCCTGAGAGATCAGGTAAGGAGCTCCGTCATCTTGGGGGAGCTCGGAGTAGACCTTCTGCTCCTCTGCATCAAAAAGAGGCAGCTGAGGATGCCTCGTGGGTACTTATTCTGGTCATGCTCCACTAGTAGGACACCCAAACCAGACCATCAGAACCAGAACTCTCTAGTTTCTCTTCACAACTCAACCACAGAGAAGAGGAAGAAGATGGATGGATGGAAGATGGATGAATGTTGTATGGATGGACAGATGATGGAAGAATGATGGATGGATGTTGGATGGATGGAGGATGGTTGGATGTTGGATGAATGATGGATAGATGGATAGCTGATGATGGTTGGATGGATAGATGTTGGATGGATGGGTGATGGATGGAGAATGGATGGGTGATGGATGAATGATGGTTGGGTGGATGTTGGATGATGGATGGGTGATGGATAGATGATGGGTGGATGAATGTTGGCTGGATCGAGGATTGATAGGTGATGAATGGCTGATGGATGATAGATGAAGGATGGATGGGTGATGGATGATAGATGTTGAATGGATGATGAATGGATGGATGATGGCTGGATGGATGGGTGATGGATGGATGATAGTTGAATGGATAATGGATGGATGGTACCATGTAATGAGGAGCCACGTGCAGACGTGCCGTCTCACCTTTCAGCCACTTGGAGTCGTACTTGATGGTCCTCAGGGCCGAGCCGTCGCCCAGACTACGATAGATGACGGAGTCGCTGGCCTGGAAGTCAGCCACAGTAGCAGAATACAGCTTCCCTTCTAAGAAAAATAAAAATGAGAAGGAAGCGTCAGAAACCAGTCAGAGCGCTGCTTTTCAACGTTTTAGTTTCCTGGTCTATTATAAAGCTTAATAGGCTGCGCTGTTACGGCTGCAGGCACAGTTTCACTCAGGAAACACTCAGAGATGATAATGAGCGCAGAAGTAGAAACACGTCAGGTTTGTCTGTTTCCAGCTCTGAGTGTGGGCGGATGCGCCTCTGACCCATACCAGCGAAGAGGGCCACGTTGGTTTGCTTGGAGTCAAACGGGCACCGTGCCAGACCGTTGATCTCCTCCCCATCAAACTCAAGGTTATCCAACTGATGGAAACACAAAAATCACCCACACATTAGAGGTTCATAAAAAATGTAAAACAGCAGAAGCACGTCGAAACAGCAGAACAAATCCGATTTATTTTTGTTTCACAATAAACAGTCGCCTAAAGGACCGCCTGCACAACAGCTCTTTGTTCAATTTGAGACGGAGGCTCGTTAAACTCCGAGTACTGACCCGGTAGTACCGGCACATGGGGTTGAAGCCGTTGGTGCCGCAGATGAACACCAGGTCATCGTTTCTGGGAACCAGAACCTTGATGAAGTTGTGACACTCGTCCTGAAAACGCACGAGTTTGTTTTATTGGCGGCACGACGGTTTCACTTTCAAAGGAGAAATGATCGTTTTGATACGTACTCTGTGTTTTCCTTTCACCGCACACATCTCTCGGTCAGCTTGGCCCGAGCGCCACGTTAACTTCTGGAAAACACAAACGGTGCGTTACACTCACGCATGTCAAACACACACACACACACTATTCACACGGAAGGGGGGGGGGGGTCTTACCCGGTAAGGAATGATCTCGTTCCTGTAGGATTCTCTCAGACTGACGAGGTACACCTGATCTCTGAGGACACACAACACAACATGCTGAGTCACACAACAACAACACACACCTCCAGGAGGAAACGTTCCAACTACAGGCCGCTGGACTCTAAAGCTCTGGATTCAAACCGCCCACTCTGTGCTTAACTCAGTTGTCTTAAAGGTTGTGGAAGTGAAACGAGCAGCTCATTCATATAATTTCCCTTTTTATCTAACAAAGTTAAGTCAGGTCCTCTGGATGGTTTATTTTTGTTTCATCCGTCCGAGGAGCCACTTGGTCTTTTAAGACTGAGTTTGTTGTGGCTCCTCGGACTGATGAAGTCCTTTGGATGAAACAAAAAGAAACCGTCCACAAGACTCGACTTAACTTTGTTGGATTTTTTTTTTTACCTGGATTCATGAGCATGAACTTTGATGTTCTCTTTTTTTTGCCATTCTGAGGTTAATTTAAATATTTTTTTACCTCCTCCACCCTCTTCTGTTCTCTTTTCCTTATCTACGTATGTAACAGGCCTCTCTTGTAAATGAATCCTCGAGGCTCAATGGGAACTAACCTGCATAAATAAAGGTTGAATGAATGAAAGAATGAATTTATGATTTGTACTTATTGTTAAAGTTAAACGATGACCACTTTTAATGGATTTTATAAAAAGGTTGTCTTTTTTCACACAAATTCATCCGTTAGAGCAGCGATGCCTCACGGTGTTTCCAAAGAGACCTGCTGTGAAAAGCTGTGCCACAACATGTGGGGAAATAATTTATAATTCAATTATCGGCATCAGATTCCAGATCTTTTTGATTTTTAAATAACGAGTTGGGGGGGGTCCCCATCAGACGCAGCTACAAGTGGTATTTTTTCAACACTTGTCACCCTCCTCATTTGTTTTGCATGTTACGACAGATTTTCTGTAAATTATACATCAGTTTGACGACAGTTACACTAAATATTAGATATTATATACTGTATATTAATATTATCTTAGATCTTATTACTGTTTTTCTTTAACATCTTTATTGTTTGATGTAACTGGGACTCTGTTTACACAATTTCGTTTCACCACATGTACCACATGGGGTGCGAATGACACATAAAGAAACTCTGGAGTCTCATCGGAGACACAAACTCGGACTCTCTGACTGAAATATTACCAGAGTAAAGACACCTTCTGTTTCTAGAAGATAAAGATCAGAATCAGTTCAAGAGACAAACCAGTTGTACTCCTTCAGCTGGAGGAGGCATCAAATATAATAATCACTAAAGTTTTGTTCACCAGGATGGAAAAAAAATTATTAAATTGTAAGACATGGGAGTAAATCTCTGAGCTGCTGTGTGTAGACGCTCGCAGAGCGCTGTCTTGTTCCTGTTTGACCTTCTGTTTGCTTGTGACGCTGAAATAAAAATGACGACCACAGGGATGGTTTTCTAATCTGAAGATGCATCAGTTTAAGTTGCATGGAGAGTTTTTATTCTTTTAATTTCATAAACACTCAAACATTTGGAATCAGTAGTGTAGCAATGTCTGATGCAACTGTGTAGATAATAATGGGCAACATCTTTTTGTTTGTTTTGAAGCTTTCAACCTTCAAAATAAGAGCTGCAGACTATTATATTGTTACTTTTATAATGGTTATGGTAAACCATGCTAATGACAAGTACATTTTTTATTCCTGTAGATCTTCTGAAGACCTCATACTTGGTGTTTCATGACCTTGTTGGAGTCTCAACCCCACCGTTAGGAGCCTCAGAGTCATAGGCATGTGAAGGGGACATGTCCCCTCCACATAAAAAAAAAAAAAAACATTAATTTGGACCCCCCCCCCACTTTTACTATGAAACATTAGTTCTTTTGGCGCAGTTTCTCTTTCTTCGTGAACAAATCCATTCCACTTGATTAATAGGAGAATACTCAAACCACTAAAAATCCACTCCAGGTTTTCCTGGTTACCTCCAACTCTCTGTGCATCGCCTTGCGGCAGAGAACGCTCACAGGTGGAGGAAATGGAGACTTCTCTGTGTTGATCGCTCACGAGCTTAGTGCGGGCAGTTGTTGACGGGGGGGTTGATCATAAACATATATACATGGTTAGTAGGAGAGAAGTGGAGCGCTACGTCTGTAGCATCTTAGCTTAGCAGTAACTGTGACGCTGTAAGACGCTGCAGGTGTAAGAGACGCTGTGTGTTCAGGTGCATTAAAGTTGAAATATCTTTTAAACCCCACACCTTATTGTCCTCAAGCTTCACGAGAAACATCATTTAGATGAGTAGCGTTGAACACAAGTGAAAAAGTCCAGTTTTGATGTTTTTATTTCTCCATAAACACAAATAGTGCCGAACTGAGGCTGTGTGCATTAAATGCATTAAAGTTGAAAAGTCTTTTAAAACCCACAGCAGAATTTACACAAACTTAGTGAGAAGAGAAACATTCTTTAAAATGAATTAAAGTAAGGAAATCTAAATGTTGCTTTTTTGTACACGCGTGTGTACACACACACACTATAGTGTCCACCCCACATTACAGATGCTTCTGACACCTATGCTCAGAGTAAATCTGTCTGCTTGGCTTTTATTAAAAACCCAAAGCGGTGACGGCTACAGAGATGCATGCTGCGCTCGGAGGACTGAGGCCTCTCTTTACTGTTGATGTTGAAGTAATTTCCTGCTGCAACATTAGTGCAGGGAGTCGCATTATTTCCTCCGCCCATAAATACAGAATAAAACGCGTAAAGATGCCAAGAAATCCCTGCAAGCACGTCAGGTTGCCATGATGGACGCCTTTCCACGGTCGATACGGGCCGTATCCTTCAGATGCAGGGCTGGAAGCCACAGATCCAATAACACTAAGAGCTTTTTCACCCGTATGCCTGTTTACCTGCCAAAGACTGACAGAGTGCACCGGTGTTGGGTGTGTGTGAAAAAGCACGACAACAGGAGGAATAAATGTGTGTGTGTTAAACTCACCTGCCAGCGATGAACAGTGTGTCCTGGATCTTGGTCATCAGCTGAAAGTCGAGGCGGTGCTGCGACTCGTTGCCCGAGAGCTTTCCTCTGAACACGGGGTACCTCCGAGTAACTGAACACACACACACACACGGTTGAAGGTAAATACAGCTGAAGGAGCTTCATGCACCGTGTCATATTAGGGGAACAGATCGATATAAGACAGTGTAGGATTCAGAGCGCTGTGATCTGATCATTAATATATCATCCATGACATGAACTAAATCCTGGTCAAATAATCTTTTAGACCTAAAATAATCCCAACATTTAGCTCTACACTGCACTATTTTCTTTCTAACAATATTTTAAGAACTAAGTGAACAAAACGAATCAAAGCGTCAAGAACAGAGACGTAAGATTCTGTGGGGATGGATGTCACATGTTGGAGCTACCTGACCTTCTTTAAGGTTTCCACTATTTATTTTTGGTTCTTTAGTACACAGTACTACACAATACTATTCACAATAAAAGTTGCAGGACTTTGTATTTAGCTTCGCCTCTTCAGAGTCAGGTGGAAACTGCCGTTAGCAGCCGTTAGCAGCTACCTTCAGCTGTTTGTGCTTTCTCAAGTGAAACCAAGTTCTCTTTGTCATTTGTCCTTTATCTTTATAGCAGCTGAAGTTCTTTCAAACTCTGTTTTTCCATGCAGAAGTTACCGTTTGCCTGTCTCAGTCGGCCATCTTGGGAAAATGCCTCCACACTTCAAAGTTCCACCTCTTGCAGAACGTTATTACCATGAAATACTAAATGATTTTGACATTTGAACGGTTCAAGTCCACTTTGTGATGCATAAACACAGATTATAGCCCCACCCATCATGTTCCAACCATCAGACCTGTGTGTCACGGTATGTGTTCATGTGTTGGTGCTTGTGTCAGCACCTCTCTGTTGTTCCGATGCAACAGAAATGGAAACGAAATCCTCTTTAACCCGACAGCAGTCTGATGTTATGAGTACGAAAATGACCCGCTGGTGTATGAGCTGCTGACGCTACGAAAGCGAGTGACTGCAGGCATTTTGTCTTGATTCTGGAAGCAACACTGTGCTGCGGGGGGTTGGTGTTGTAGAATAAAGTCCTGTCTGTGAGCGTACTCACAGTGTGCGTCGACGACGTCCAGCGGCACGGTGTCCTCCGGGAAGCTGACTGCGAGAAGAGTGCGTGAAGCTGTCAGCATCAGCAGCAGGAGCCCACTGAGCAGAAGAACAGCTCCTCGACCCATGGCTGCTCACAGACGGCACTTCCTGTTTCACACCGGTGGAAATGTTACCTGCAGACAAAAAGACATAAAGCTCTTTCTTTTTGTTTTGCACGACGACAAATAAATTTCACGTTACAACGACCACACTGAGGTTAACTCTGACGCCAAGTCCAAACAGAAGCCAAACCACAGTGATGTGATCACGCAGCGATAACTTCCTGTCCGGTTTATTCTCCTCAACCTCTCCCTGCAGCTGCTGTCTGAGGGAAGGTCAGCCAAAAGGCCGGCGGGATGCCTCGCCTCGTTGGAGGCAGAGGAAGTCCACCCTGTTAGGAACATGGCAGGCCTGCTGTCTCAGGACATCTGTGCTCTGATTGGTTTCACCGGGCCGGCACTGTTCAGCCTCCACTCTGACCTCAACAGACTTTTATCAGCCCTTCGTTGACCAAGCTGCAGCTGAACGACTTACACAAACACAAAGATGGCTAAAACTATACCAGTTTGACTGATACTGGGCAAAAGCTTGACCTGGTACTGGCTGATCGCACTCAAGTGCTAAACAGATCTCTCAATGCAGTCTAAAACTAGCGTCATTTACAAGCTTTGATCAAAACAGCTTCAACTCCATCAGTTCTCTTAATCTGAAATGTCAGAATAAAAGGCGGCAACAATATGCGTTCTTTTAACAAATGGACATGAATAGTGAGAATGTTGATGGCTGGCTTGCTTGATTCTTAGCTAGTCTTTTGAAATATTCAGCTTCTAGCTACCCCATGGCTACTTTTATCTTTTAACTTATCTTGTGCAGCTTTTAGCTTGCATTTTTTAGCTTGTGTCCACAATTTGCAAATGGCTAGCTAAAAGTAGTCAATTTTTATCTAATACATTGCTGCATTTAGCTTCTAGCTAGCATCTGGTGCATTTAGCTTTAACCAAATGTTTTGTTCTCTTTAGCTAGGCTTTTGTTACTTTTAGCTATCACTTACCAAAATGTAGCTGCTAGCTACTTTGGGGTATGTTAGTACTTTTCAATCAACCTTTATTCATATATTATTATCATCACATTATATATATATATATATATATATATATATATATATATATATATATATATATATATATAACACATTATCATATATATTACTTGAAGGGGTACTTGGTGTGGGGGTTAGGTGTATGTTAGTACTTGGAGTACTTGGTGTGGGGGTTGGGTGTATGTTAGTACTCGAAGGAGTACTTGGTGGGATGGTGGGGTTGGGCACATGTTAGTACTTGTTGGAGTACTTGGTGGGGGTGTATGTTATAACTTTAAGGAATACTTGATGGGGGGATGGGTGTACAGTATGTTGGTACTTGAACGAATACTTGGTGGTGGGATTGGTGTAGGCTAGTTTTTGAAGGAATACTTGGTGGGGGCTTGGGTGTATGTTGGTACTTGAAGCAGTATTTGGTGGGGTGGGTGGGTGTACAGTATGTTGGTACTTGAAGGAGTACTTGGTGGTGGGGTTGGTTTATGTTTATACTTGGAGTACTTGGTGGTGGTGGGGAGGGGGGATGTATATACTTGAAGGAGTACTTTGTGGGGGGTTGGGTGTATTTTAGTATTTGGGGTGGGGTGTATTTTAGTACTTGAAGGAGTACTTTCAGGACACTGAGTGTCTGTGCATATTAACCATGGCTGTACATTCAAATATTTATGAGCGGAACAAATTATTCATGCAGGTAAAGCCTGAACGGATATAAACAATTTACTGAGAGACGTCACACAGGCAGAGGGATGGATTAGCTGGGGGCACACTGGGATACACACACACACACACATGGCTGCACATACATAATCACTCTTTCAGATGATATAATGCAAAGATGTGTGTGTGTGTGTGTGTGTGTTTGTGTGTTTCCACACACACCCACACACACACACAGTATTGACTCATTTTTCAATTAGCCCTGAAGCACACCTGCTCCCCGGCCTCTGTGAGCCCGGCCCACCGAGCCATTAGCGCTCTGATTGATCCAAACAGGAAACATGGCCGACCAGCAGCCGGAGTGGAGGTTCTATAGATCGTCCTCGTCGCTGTAGCAACGTGAATCATTTCCTGATTCAAATCTTTGAGCTCATCTGCTCATAGAGTGAACCCTGCTCCTCCAGCATTTGCTGAAGGAATGCATATCGCCCGCCACCTGGCATGCTAAAGTTTAAAGCGAAGTTATGACATTGCTCAGAGTATGTTTTGAGGATGACTGTCAGCTACCACCACACCACAATTTTATGTTAAAAACTAGAAAAATTAGTCATTAAGTTAAACAACAAACATTGAAGGACCGTTTGTGTTGATGAACTGTTGAGGGGACAGTAAAATGTGACGATAAGTGAAATCTGACCAGGTGAGCAGAGCTGTCTAATTTAATGGTTCTTAAGAAGTACTGAACTAACACATATCGCCCGCTGTCTGCTTGAGTGACTGCAGCAGAATGGTTTCAGATTTGTTTCCTCAGAACTTTGAAGAACGTTTAATGAAGGATTTATTTATAAAAGGCACATATTTAATAATTTGGTTAAACTACTTTGTGTTTATGAATAAACTGGGTTTTGTGAGACGGTTGCAACACTTTGCATCCTCGTTTAGTTGGTGGATTCTGAAGCTGGAAAACCAAACCTCAAAAAAACACAAAAGATCTAAACTGACTGGTTAGAATTCAGAGTGTGTTTGGGACCACAATACCACACCAAATATTAATCTGTAAAACTTAGTTACCGGTAGTTATAGTCATGTCCTGTCTCCAAAAGTTAATCTGTTGCAGACCTGCATCCAATCATAACTCTCTGTGAGTTTCATTAAAAGTCAGCCATTGCTTTACAAGATATTTTGCTGACAGACACATTTAGGCAGATATATGATCACTCATCCTTCAAATCAGGTCGGGTATTATAATATATATTCTTGTTTGTGCGTACATAGATGAGATTAAAGCATCCTTTGTGACATGTTGATATAAAACTTTTAGTTTTTTTTAAATCTCAGGCTGTGTTAATCCCAGCATCAGTAATCTGGTAATTATTAGTAGTCCCTAATGATGAAAGCAAGGCTCTGTAAGCTGGAATCAAGAGTAATTCCAGTGTTTTCGTCCCGAGCTGTGTGTAATCATGGCTGTCCACAGCTCAGTGGGATACAGAGGAGACGGAGTCAAGCTTCACTGTACAGAAGAGTTCAGTCAGAGCTTTGAATAAAACTCCCATAAAGTAATCATAGATGAACATCTATTACTGATTAACATTGAGACTTTAAATTCAAGATGGCTGCCACAGCTAACTGAACCTAAATAAAATCAAACTGACTCAAACTCATCCAGTTTCCAGATACTGAGTTGAAACTTGCTGTGGTTGTAGCTGAGACTAATCGGCTCAAAAGGGGAGGGAACGTTAAAACCAACTGGGAATAGGTTTTGATTAATAAAAATGATTTATTATTCAATCAGTTACGTTTTAATCAAACTAGAACAAAAACTGAGTACTTTTAAAAGTACCAATAACCATCAGTTATGGTTAACAGATGTAACTTCAACAAAAATGCAGTATACCAACACAAATGAAGCCAAACAACTTATGATTCATTGCATTTTACAAAGACTCTGTAAACAAGATCACACAATGTGATTAACAAGTAAATAACTGATACAACCCTTTAAACTAATAAATGATCAAAAGCAAAGCATTTAGCCTTAAACCAAAATTACACCAAAATCAAAACGAGTTGCACAAGTAAGACTTCTGGGCCAGTCTTCAGAAACTTAGTAAATTTGTTTTAACAATTAATACCCCCGACAGACCGCAAGCCCAAACACGGCCACAAACTTTTCTACACTTTGCTACAAACTAGCTTATTTTTTTATTACTAATAACTTTTACTTAAGGCAAATCCCACTGAGGTCACAGACCTCTTTTTAAAGGTCCTCCTGGACCTGAAGGCAGCCCAAAATGCACGTTGTTGCACTGTGGGAGGAAACTGGAGTATCTGGGGAAAACCCACAAAGAGAACATGTTAACACCACACAGAAAGACCCCAGGTCCTTCTTGCTGTGAGGCAGCAGTGCGAACCACTGAGCCATGGTGCTGCCAAACATGCCTTACATTTCAAAATGGCACCAAATAAGCCAAGGTCAAACATTTTGACCTTTGAAAAGACCCAAACAAAAGGGTGAGCTGCTCAGTCTAAACCACAGCCCTCTTCTGTGATTGGAGGAGTCAGGAGACAAAGAATCCAACCAGGAAGCAGAGGGACATCCACTGGGAGGAGCCAGGAGATGAAGAATCCAACCAGGAGGACTTCCAGCAAGATGGCGAAGAGGGACATCCACTGGGAGGAGTCAGAAGAACAAGAATCCAACCAGAAAGCAGAGGGAGGTCCACTGGGAGGAGCCAGTAGATGAAGAATCCAACCAGGAAGCAGAGGGACATCCACTGGGAGGAGTCAGGAGATGAAGAATCCAACCAGAAAGCAGAGGGACATCCACTGGGAGGAGTCAGGAGATGAAGAATCCAACCAGAAAGCAGAGGGACATCCACTGGGAGGAGTCAGGAGATTAAAAATCAACCAGGAAGCTGAGGGACGTCCACTGGGAGGAGCCAGTAGATGAAGAATCCAACCAGGAAGCAGAGGGACATCCACTGGGAGGAGTCAGGAGATGAAGAATCCAACCAGAAAGCAGAGGGACGTCCACTGGGAGGAGTCAGGACAGGCCAGCCAGTCTCATGAGTTACTGCACAGCTGGGCCAGTAAATCCTCAACCTGCAACTGCAGTTTCGTGCAACACAAATGACATTCAGGCCAAAACACTAACTACTGGTATTAATCCTATTTACCTGTTAGCAAAATATTTCATCGCCCAGAGGCTGGATTTCAAAGCTCTCATAAAGTAATTATTGGCTGCACATCTACAGCCTTTCAGAGAGAAACTGAATAAAGATGGCACAGCACAGCTAATCGACCTTAGCAAACACAAAACTTGTTTTAATGATGCCAACGATTAATGTGGTAGTAGCTGAGAATACTTTTCAACATGTAGTC